GCCGCGGTTGTCATTGTCGCTGCAGTCGCGGTCATGGCCTTGGTCTTCCGCGCCTTGTCTTCTAGAATCCCGTACTCCGGTGGTAGCCCTTGCTGTCGGCGGCTTGTTCGCTGCTCCTGGTTGGCGTCGGTGTCTTCTCCGCGACGTGGGCTGGGTTCACGGCTTGACAGGGGCGTGCGGTACATGAACGAAGCAGCACCTCCACCAGATGTCACGGGGTCGTGACGTGGCCGAAGACAGGAGACTTCGTGTTGGGATTTAATTGTTTATTTGGGCGAACCTGTGCCCGGTAAACGGAAAGTCCAATTACAGCAGCAGTCTCGCACAGATAGCAGTCTCGGACTGATAGCGGCGAACGGAGCGTCGGCCTTCGATCAACTACTGACAAGCGGCGAAGCGCGTCGGCATTTATATTCCCGCCGTCGAATGTTCTAGCGCTACCGCTGGCGGCGGCGTACGTTCCAGAACAATCTGTACCATTCGCACAGTGGGCGTGATCTTATCGAAATGATCTACTACAGTCCGGAACCCTCTCGAAAATTGCAGGCGCGGTTTGCGCTGAGAAGCGTGTGGTGTTTTGGGACGATAACAAAAGCTTGGGAAATGGAAATAGATGAAGGTAAAAACAAAAAATACCGAAGGAGGAAGCCGCTGAAAACAAAGGCAGATTTGCCCTAATAGTGGCAAACTTGAAGGAAGTGGGGAGCTGGATAAACTTCTTTGCTTTTCTTTCTCTTTTTCTTTCTTTTTTCACTCTTCTTTCTCTCTTTGCGCTTTTTGTTCATTTTCCGCTATTCAATTTTTTGTGGTCTCTCTTTTTTTTTCGGTTGCTTCCAAGTTCCATGTTCTTGGCTTCCTATATCGATTTTGCTCTTGATTTTTTCTTCCTGCAATTGTTTCTAACCATTTATCTCTTGCACACTCTTTCTATGCTATGCTTTACTATTTCTTGTCCTTCATTTGCTCCTGCTTACCCTCAAATTTCTCCTCCTTTCACTTCCTTCTCTTTTTCTATCTCTTATGTTTTCTGACCATTACTTTCTATCCATATATCTCGCTATTTTCATCTTTCTTTAACTTTCTCCTTATGTCATTTGTTTCTGTTCAATTTTTCTTCTCCTTTTTTCTTTGCTCATTATCACTTCTATTTTAGGCTTTAGTTTACGCTCTTCCCTTATAATTTCCCTCTTCTTCACAATACCTCACTATATAAATCCTGGATAGGGGGCCTGCTAGAAACTTTAGTGGGTATATATGGTGTGGCGACAGTGCACAAGGTTGTAAGAATACTGGATGTGGTGGATGCTGTCGTGGTGATAATGGCTGATGTTGGTTGGAGTGGACAACATGTCGCATGGCACATGCGGTGGGGATGATAAGTTACCAATAGTGACAGGGGAAAATGTTGGCTGATAGTGGGGACGTAAAACATCCTTTGTGGATGGGTGGGTGAACAAGATGGATGACGCTGACACGATGGAAGTGCACGTGACAGTATGTATGTAAATGTGTTCCTCTCGAATGTGCAGCAAAATATATCTATAATCCAATAAAGCCAACGCGGTTCATCATGCTTTACAGCATGCTTTCTTTTTTTCATGTGGCGTTAATAACCACCTACACATCTGTGGAGCACAGCAGCCCTGAATGTTCACCCTTTTAGCACGTACTTAATTTTGTCGGGCATGTCTAGCTGCATTATGTTGTTCACAACTTTAGAAGTTTTGGTATGAACATACACATTATGTGTAGTACATCGCCACGCAGTTGTCCAGGAATAAATTAACTGTGGCATCACAATCACCCCGTCTAACGAGGGGACCAGAAACAGCCACCACTCAATATTGCCACGTTGTGAATGCAATTCTGGCAATGATCACACACACACTTTCCTTGGCCACTTTCTAGTTTAAAAGTGAAAGTGCGTGAGAAGCAAAGTCCCAGACCTCACATTTTATATATACAAGACTCCTGTGATTATTTTGTTGTGTCGGCTTTTGGCAGCCACGTAATCATGAAGACACCCTCTGCTTAAATGTTATTACCTCACAGACATTTATAGAGCCCAAACATACCCACAGAGCGAATGATGATGAGTGGGCGCAGCTCCAGAGGCATATCAGTAAACCGTTCATCATCGGTAAGTATTGCGCAGTCGATCGTCATGGAAAGGCGTGACAAACACTTTGTGTGCGCTTCACCACCGCTTCGTAGGCTCTCAGCTCAGGATCTTCTTGCCGGGAGTTCCATGCAGACTCGGCTCGCGGGCTCCTACTGCAACGTGTGCTGTAGCCGCCTTGCAAGCTCTCCACTCTGCCTTCTTCGTCCATCAACCTCGAGGCACACGGACTCCCCGCGAAAGAGCAAGCTCACCAGGGGCGAGCACATTTTATAGCTGCGCCTCCAGCGGCCCCCTGTCACACTAGGGTACGCGTTGGAGTGGGGCGTAGAGGTCCTCGATGCGTTTGCTCGCGTGAATGGAGTGAAGGCGAACGAGTGCATCGAGATACTCTAGTGGAGTGATTGATTGATATGTGGGGTTTAACATCCCAAGACCACCATATGATTATGAGAGACGCCGTAGTGGAGGGCTCCGGAAATTTCGACAATCTGGGCTCTAGTGGAGTCAGCGCTGCCGCACCATCTAGTGAGCAAGCCGAGTACTAGTGGTGCGAGCGCCACAGCGCCATCGCCGTAGTAGTGGCTACTACAACTACTATGATGCCGCACAAGCTTACGCCTAAAGAAGCTACGCTCACAAAATGCCCGTAGATTTGCCTTCGGCTCGCGTCAAGCGAAGCCTCACCAAGTATAACTCCCACCATCTTATTCAACGGCCATTATTTTCAGCAAAAGCTAGTCTTTCTAGTTATCATCGGCACTGGTTATTTTAGTATATGTAAACCCTGAAAAATACTAATGACTTTTCAACATAGCTGTGACGTCAGCTAACTTATACGAAACATTTTTAGAATCAAAGCTCCTTATGGCGTGGCTTGTGCCTCTTTCGTTGTCGTGCGTAACCACAGGTGGCACATAACCGAGAGAGTGGTCCTTAGAATGTCAGCTCGATGGCGGCACAAATATATGCTGAATACATGATGAAAAGGTGTGAGATGGCGGTACTTGGAGGGTTCACTAGATAGACGGATGGACGGACATACAGATGGACGGACGGGCTGACGGGCGCACGAAAAAACGCTTGGCGGGCGGCCACGTTGACGGTCACATGAATGAATGGACAAACGGATGGATGCATTAACGAATGGAAGCACGAACGAATGAACGTACGAAAGCATGGACAGACTGAGGAACACTTCGCCCCACCAATCATCATTCAGTCTGCGGATATGTTGTGATTTTTTTTTCTTGTGCACGGTGTTTGCACAAGAAGCGACGAGAATTGATGAGACGCGCTTCATAGTGAGTGGCTCCGGTCATACCCAGTGGCGTGGTGGCACTCACCAACATTACTTTGACTAGTATGCGAGAACACGGAACAGCAATATGGTGGCATATGGAGACGCACAATGCATTCGCTTTTTTTTTACGCTGTCGTGCAGTTGTAGACGTGATTTCTACATAACATAGATACGTTTCTTCATGTTTTTTTGTTTTTTATTCCCTCAATATCTTGTTTTTGTTCTTTATTTCTCTCTCTCTGTATTATTTGTCTCGCTCATTTTGTTGTTGCACACAGACCAGAAAAATCGCTACCCACGTTTTTCAGCGTAGCAAAAAATTATAATTACCCATTGAAGGCCAACGAATATACAAAGCCAATGGTTGTTTCCATATTTAGGTGAAGTGACAATGTCGGGCCATAAATCGTATTGACTCCTGCAGTTCTTAGTGTTTGACAAGTGGCCATGTGTGTTTGCAAAGGGCGGTGTTGATATTACTTGAGCAGCCATATGCTTTGTGGTATGATACTGCAATATTTACAAAAAGTTCAAATGCTTCTGCTCTGAATATAACAAGACGAAAGTGTTAGTAACTAGCTCATGCGAGCACATTCAGACTGCTGCGAACCTGTTCGTATTACACTTCTTTCTTCCTTATTAGGACAGACCCCGACCATTCCGGGTCATGTCCCAATTGCAACCATGAGTTCTTTCGATCACAGGCACTGGCTGAACTCAGACCTTACTGCTTTTTCACTTATCACGAAGATACAAATGAATGAACCTCTGAAGAGCAGCAGTCTTCACACTCAACTCTAGGCCGTCCAGAGGGCCCACAGCGTTGCCATGAAACTTCGAGTTTTGGTCCCATCGTGGGTAGAGCCACCGACTTGTTATAGAAGAGGGAGTGATGCTTCTCCTCTCCTCAGGAGTTATGATCATATAACGTAGCTTTTTTGAAGAAATTATTCTTATCTATTTCTCATTCAGGTATGGCAAGACGCTGTTACTTCCACAGAAATGGCACCAGGTACAGATGTCCCCAAATCCAAGGAGTACCCCTCTGTACTCGTGCAGTGGGCTCCTTGTGTAGGCCCAACACAACTGGAAAACACATGCGTAGTATTAGCCCGTAGTGAGCATGGAACGCAAATTTCCATTCCACCTTGTTAAACCACTAGTGAAGGCCTAGCTTAGCCAATACTACTACTGCTGCCAGAGTCAGCTGCGAACAACTATGCACAGGACTTAATGCAGAGAGGTCATCAAGGTGGGCAACCGATTGGAACAGTAGAGCCACTTGTTCTTTATTAGACTAAGGGAATAGTGAGACTTGGTTATATTAGCAACACAATACAATATTCAGCAATGTCTAGCGACACCTGCTAACGTTTAGCAAAACTACACACCTCACAATACGCAGTAACAACTTAACATTGCATTGCTAGGACTTGCTTGCACCAGTACGCCAAAAGGCGGGTCAGAGCAGCGCTGCGACCTGCCCTTGGGTGTATTAGTGCAAGCTGTTTACATTCGTTTGCCGATAAAAATAAGTAGCTGCTCTTTATTGATGCAATTAGTTGTTTGCAAACTCACGTGTGGGCTATTTCGTGGGCCAAAGTAGGGTAACTTTCATATTTCTTTCCATTATCGGACACAATAATTGCTCTCTGGTTGCTACATATTCCATTCCTCATAGAAGCGCCTGCAATGAAGCAGAAAATACAAATCTCAACCCTTTAAGGTATGTTCACTTAGAGACCTGAGCAATAACAGCTCTTGCTCTAGGAAATATTCTTTATAACATTGTTATTGTTGCCCAGTCGTTAGTAAGAAGGTTGGTGGCTTGGCAGTTCGTGGTGACTCTTGTAGCGCGAATTTGCGACTAGAAAAAAATGGTAAAAAAGGTTTTGAGGTTAGCACTCGTCATCATGTGTCTTGTTGTCCTTGTCCTGAGTCTGTGCTTTAAGATATTAATAAATTGGCGTTGCACTTATGAAGACGGAATTCTAAAGTGGTGATATTATTAAAAGCATCTACGTTATGCTATGCTTTGAAATGTGTGCTCCCACATATTTTCATTTGACCACCCTTCGAAGAGGGCTCTGTGTGGAGAACTTTCCATGAAAGGGCTAAACGAAATGAAAAGTTGGGGAAAAAAGTTCTTAAGAGGGCCCAAAATGACAATAAACTTAAGACAGAGTCATGCGATATAATTTGCACACTGTTATGCCCTTCATTAAGGGGCCCGTATAGTATACAAGGAAAGCCACCAAGAGTTGAGCAAAAAATTTATCTCGTGATTTGTGCCCTGTATCGCGAGTTTATCTCTTACATTGTTCCCAAATTCATACAGCGTTCTAGAAAATTAAAGTGCTAATGTTACGTACTTAAAATAACGGTAACAAATTTTATCCGTAAGAAATGAATAAAAAATATATACCTTTGACTGTGCGTCCGTTACAGATAATAGTTTTCCTGAAACCACAATTGCATTCCCTTTAAGAATGAATATAATCATAAACTTACCAATTAAGTAATAAAGTCAGTTGAATAGATGTAATTCTAATCATGCTACACGAGGTTATAGAATATGAAGTTGATGTTGATAAAGACGTTTACGAAAAATACATTTGCCACAGGTGAGCAATACTTTTACGACGTCCTGCTTTCTATTGCGACTACTACGAGTTCATAGTACGATCTCAGCTAATTCATGGATGCAGGAGTCTGTTGTCATCTATCGTTTTCAATCATAATGGAGAACTAGGATTCTAGACAGGGGGCTTCTGTTTACGATGATTCCTCCGTTTAATGAGGATAGGTAGGAGCTAGACGCTTACATTCAATGGTTTGAGAGAGTAGCGTCTGGCCAAGGTTGGCCACAAGATAAGTGGGCCTTTTCGTTGAGTGTCTGCTTGACGGGCGAATAACTGGCGTATATAGGTCGGATGGCCGTGGAAGACGCTACCGACTACGCTAAGCTGAAGCAGACCCTACTGCAGCGGTTCCACTACACTGAAGAAGGTTACCGTGTTAAGTTTCGGGATGGCAAGTCTGAAAACGATGGAACACCACAACAGTTTTCCGGTCGTCTTCTTGGCTACTTCCACCATTGGCAAGAGCTAGCTAAGACACCGAAAGCGTTTAAATCGCTGCGAGACAAGATCGTGTCAGAGGAGTTTCTGCGTTTCTGTGAAGTAAAGCTGGCGATCTTTCTCAAAGAAAGAGAGTGTTACAACTTTGACACACTGGTAATGGCAGCGGACCAGTACTTGGAAGCCCAAGGCATCAGTAATCTTGCTGAAGGCAAGAAAGAAAAAGAAGAAAAGAGGAAGCTGCCTAGCAGTCATAAAGCCGCCATGATGACAGGAAGCAAAGAAAAGCCCCTCTGCTTTCGTTTCAGCAAGCCGGGACATAAAGCTTCCAACTGTTGGACCAGAACTACAGCCCCAAAGCAATCACCATGCTGGATATGCAAGCAGACTGGCCACAGTGCGGACGTGTGTCCTACTAGCTCTGGCAGGCATGAAGCTTCATGTACTATTCTCGGACGTGACCAGATGCATAGTGAGCAGGAGAAGCCGAAGCCTGCCCAGCAAAGTGCATGTAACGGGCATGGTATGTTCGACGTCACCCAGAGCTGTACATCATTCTGTGGACGCGGCCAACAGATGCCTACGGTCAAGGGGCGTCTTGAGAGGAACATGCTCACTGTTCTCCGCAATTCCGGCTGCAACATGGTGGTAGTGAAACAGTCCCTCGTTAGCCGACTCCCAGTTTACTGGTAATAACTGAGTGAAACGCCTACTCGATCAATCTCAACAGTGTTTGCCGGAGGCCAAATTATTCATTGATTCCAAGTTCTTCAAGAGAGTTGCTGTCGTTGTGTGCACGCAGGACCCTCCGTACGATGTCATTCTTGCAACATTGAGGGTACTCTTTCGATTGCCTACCCCGAGGCCAAGCAAACAGGCGTAGCAAAAGAGAAAGGAAAAAAGCAGCGAAAAATTGCAGCGAAATTACAGAACACCTGTAAGAGGGCGCATGAAACGCTGCAGAAGACAAATGCTTCCGGAATGAAACAATGCTGCGACAGGAAATGAAAACACACACAGCTCTCTGCGGGAGACCAAGTGTTGCTGTTCTCACTATCCGACAAGAATAAGCCCATACTCACTTGTGAAGGTCCCTTCACCATAATAGAAAAGTGCAATGACAATATTTATTTGGTACACCTGGGTTCGCGAGTTAGCTTATTTCATTCAACTCTCCTCAATAGACATGAGCAGATGGAAACCGAATCACATCGCCGATAGGGTCTCTCAGAATGCACGTGTATTTCGTTCACTCTGATCAGTCGTTAATTTGTGAAGAACACATTGTAAATAGTATTGTGTTGTTAGTATTCAGGACTGAGGACAAGTTCTTTTATTGAAATAACTTTCTTGAGGGGGGGAATAAGTATAACGAATGGACGAACTTTGGGGTGCTAAACGCGTGTGTGCTGCTCTCTTCCGAGTTTGTTCTACATTACTTTCATTTTCTGCAGATTAATTTTAGGACCCACCTTTTTGCTCTCTTTACCTAACTCCGTAATCATGAGTTGCAGTTCGCCCTCTGAGGCACTCAGCAATGCAATGTCATCGGCGAATCACAGGTTACTAAGGTACTCTTCCTTAACTCTTATGCCAAACTGTTCCCACTCTAGGCCTCTGAAAACCTCCTGTAAGCACGCGGTAAATAGCGTTGGGGAAATTGTATCCCCCTGCCTTACACCCTTTTTTAGTGGTATTCTGTTGCTTTCTTTATGAGCAGTGACAAGAATTTATTTAAAGATATTGCCATAGCATTCAGTTCTTTCATATAAACGACGCGAAGGCAGTTTGACCAGGAAATAAGCCACTACGCCTCAATGCAGCAATTACTGTAGAAACTTTGAAAGGTTTCAAATTTCGAAGGGTTTCAACGTTCATTTAGCACACCGAAGACATGTATTCATCACAACAAACACACTTTTTGGACCCAGCAGTCTTGTTGAACGGCCCCTACCAAAGGAATCTGTATACACATCTATAGCAGCAGTTAATATACACACTGTAATACGATTTTGAAAAAAGCACACGTGTCTTAATAATTTAGAAAAACATGCACAGTACAAAAGTAAATACAAGCAAGTTACAAATTTTTCTAACAAATACCTTATAAAAAACGAGTCTTAAAAAAGAAAAAAATGAAAAAAACTGGTTGCGCTGGTTAGGTTGCAATCTAACTTATTCCGAAGAATTGTATCTTGAGAGTTTAGTGCAGAACGAGCGTAACTAGTAGTAATCTTAGGCAGGACAAAAACAACCACACGATATATTCATAGCAGTGAGAGATGAGTGGTGAAGCGAGGCTGTTGTCACGACGAGTTTATCATTACTAACTTGATGCACGATGCACTTTGTAATTATTGCTATGGTATTTAGAAACAATGTGTATTCGGATAATGCAAACTTACAAGATGTTCAGAGTATGAGACATAGTTAAAGCCTGTATGTGCCCATTGAACAAAGAAGGAGATATCGCAGCCACCATAAGGTGCCTATGAGAGTACCTTACGAGGTAAGACGCATTTACGTGACGTAATTTGTCCTAAAGCATATAACAATACTTCATTTTTGTCTAATCAACTTCAGTGGAGAAAGCAATCGAGTGATGAACTAGAAAGAGCTGTAAAGCTAAATTGAGTAAATTGTTCGAATTCTTTGAGGGATCCGGCTTGTGTAGTTGAGAAAGAAAGTTGTTTTGTAAATAGTGACGATTGTTAGGCGTTTATATACATGAATTATTTACTTCCCATCGTAAGTAAAGCCTATTGTTTGTTTCACTTCATCTCCCTGGCAGTTTGCAGTGACGAACGCCAGGGTGTACTTCCAGGCATAAACTTATTCTGTTTTTGCTGGTCTCCTCCACATTTTATTGCGATAGCAATTACATGCACACTCGGCTGAGTTTTTACGTTACCGTCATGTCCCTGATATGTATATGTACTTATATGTATCAAAAGACACAAAGGAAAAAACTAATCAGGAGAAAAAATTATACTACAAAATACCGGTGATTTAAATCAGCGATGTCTCTCTCTGCAGCGCAAGCCAACACGGCCACGTACCATGCTTACGACGGTTTTATAACAGGGCCTTATCGATGGTTATTCACCACTCACAGTGCACAGATCTCGGAACAGGTTAAGCGTACTTTCTATTTGCAGTGCATTTACATTTCTTTAAAACTGAAAACAGCCTTTGTGACGCGCATGATAAAAATACTTCCTTCTGTACCACTCAGGGTGTAGAAGTGAGAGGGAAAAAGCACGTCTTCAGGGAAACTCACTTTTACACTTTCAGGGAAACTCCTCTAGCCTCGACTTCGAAATAAACGATACGAAACACGATAACACAGATAATGTATACATTCTGGGTAAGCAATATCAAAACGAGTGAAAAAAGAGTACAGCTTACCGTGTTAGGAAAGCGAACACATCTGCAGCCCAAATATAAGGCCGTGTCATTGCAAAGTCGATCAACTGTGCCAACGCTTGTATACATCTTACGTCTCCTGTTTTCGTTAATGCAACGTCTCTCTGTAATATTTGTTTTCTTGTGAATACATATTTGTCAATGTAAATTAACCTACCAGTTCGTGTAGCTCAACACCCAATAACTTGATGAAACCAGGTGGAATAAGCCTGAGGAATACCTGGGAAGTCTATAATTCAATTAAACGCAAGATCATCATTATAGCTTAATAAACTTGTCAAGTGAGTGACGTATTATACGACGGAAACGTATATACAATTTCAGAAGGACCCCTCTTTACAAAAAATCCGCTATAACAAAAAAATCATCACAATATGCACAAAGTGAATGATGTTAGAGGTACTTGCTCGAAGATGATTGGGTAAACATCGAATTTTCCGTGCATATTTCTCTTCCATCATATAAGGATGTGACGGGTTTGCTTGACGGGAAGCCCTCTTCGCTTCGCGCTTCCATGCTCCCACCGCAAGGTCTTGGCGGCATGCTAGAGCTGCGGCTGCGTTAAGAGCCCACCGCGCCGCTACCATGGCTTCTGGGGTGTTCATGATCTCAAAGCGAAGCGGAAGTGCGCTAAGCGCAAGTGCTGGGTACATGAGCAGTCGTCAAGCGGGCACCTATCTAACTAGAGCACGCGGCGCCGAGAGCACGTGGCTCCGCTCTTGCTACTCACCAGAGGGAGTTCAGCTGCGAGATAGCAGAGTGGTGCCTCTGGTGGAAGCAATGAGAACTAGTGTACAGGCAGCCGACAATGGACAAGGTGCCAGCATAAGAAGCTGGCGACCAAGTTCCTAAAAAGGAAAGTAATGCACCTACACTTTTGATAAAGATGCACTAAAAATATTCAGTAAAATTATGTTATATGGTAAAACAAACGCTACTCATGAAATATTGAGGAGAGGTTCCTATTGGTATCTGCTGGTTGCAAATGATGACACAGGTGACGTTAAAAGTCATATGTTTATTACTATAAAATAATAATATTCATGTTATTATCAATAATATTATTACCATCATCATCATTATACTAATATTCTTAATATTATTAGTGTTAGTATTCGATTTCCATACGCAAAGGAAAGAGGGAAAGAGAAAGCCAGCAACTGCCACATACATAACATAAGAAGGTAGAAAGCAGATGAAGGAAGCTTGAAAAGACAAACTTTGAAGCATGACGAGTCGCTGGAGCCGACGAAAGCAAATATATATGATTCAGCTCTTTATGTTCAACTGTCGTCGTAAAAAGTGAACTTTTGAAGATTTTAGCGCTCAGCATTGCTGTGAAGGCATACACAAAACTTTTGTCAAAGATCTAACGTTGTGCACTCTTACTGAAAGAATAAGATAGACTATTTCAAACTCTAATAATGAGAAATACATGAGGCCTTTTAAATGTAACAAAACCTGCTTTTCGAAGATTCAAATGCACTTTGGTGGAGTAATAAATAAAGCATGAAAATTTATAGCAGCTCTTTCAAAAGTAAAATCTCGTCGATCAAAGTAGAAATTATATCAATGATTGCTTGTGAGTTTTCGTGCGTTTAGAGAAATAACAGTATGGTTAATTATTATCAGAAAAAGAGAATATTTGAGGAAATAAGTGGACGAAGCTGTTGTGAAGATACAGCCAAAGTTTTTATGCGAAAACATTGATTACTAGTATACCTCCGGGACCTTCACCGTGCGAGTGCAAAATAAAAAAAAAGTTAACTGCTCACTTGCCTTTATAGTGTATTCTCGAGCGTATTCGTACAGCGTTATGCCCTCTTTTTGTAACCATTGTGCGTGCTCGCTGTCACTCAGCCAGTAGAGCTTTATTCTGAAAGCTGATTACGAGATGATCATGTGTCAGAATAAAGAGGAAAACAATCAGAGCTTCAATTTTTCATAAAGAAAATAGCATCCTTAGATTTGTTTGAGCTTGGGAACACAACTTATCAAAGCATATACTCTTCATCAACAATCCTTCGTATTCCACATTTAGAGCAGTTTATTCACTGGCATGGAACATTTCTTTGAACTTTGTTCAAAGCTGTCGTCTTAAGTTATCCCGTAGGTTTAAAACAACATATTCAAGTTCGCCGAATACACGTTAACGTTACTCGCTGAACAATTTCAATGTTGCTGCTCTCCTTCGTATTTCGCTAAGCTCCTCTCAAGCTTTTTACATGGTTTGGATGTACCCAACATCCAGTTGTCGATCACCACAAGCTGTTTTTTTGATCTGAAGTGTATATTTGCCAACAGCAGGAACATTAAGGTTTTTATGTTTAAACATCGATCTATCTATTTACCTATCTAGCCGACTACGTGTTGATGCTGTCGTAGCCACATACTTTGGATAGTCCATAAAAAGCTTGGTCTGATAATAGCTTTTGACCAATATGTCTGAGTCGTCATGGCATAAATAACGTGGAAATCCCGTCACGTGCATTTTCGAGTCTTCCTTCTGCCACGCCTGGCACATTCCCGTATCACACGGGCCACGGTGTAAGCGGGTATGCACCGCAGCAAATTGATAGTTTGTATCTACCTAGAAACGACGAGAGCAGACGTAGGCAGTATAAACGCGAAAACTTAAGAAGAAAACTCCCCTTATCGAGCACTGACCAGGAGAATTCAAAGAATAAATATCAGATTTCAGCAGAGATATAATCCAAGTATTCGACGAGGCAATCGAGTATTCTAACATAGAGCCGTGAAAGGTCTCGTGACTGCTTTCGAACAAGATCCTATTCAGGCGAATTGTTGGGGAAACAATTTGTGAGTGTAGGACTCACTAATTTTATTCAGATTACATATGTGCTGCTATGGTGCCGGACTTCGTGGTTTTCAACCTCGCTAGGCTAGGCTTAGCCTCATCATGGACTCTCCCCGCGATGCGTCCACTCTACTGACTGGTGTGGGCTGCTCCCGTTTAATGTGATGTGGCGAAGGTGAAAGTCCACCAGGAACTGCTGGGCAGGATGCGACAAGTCCAGGCAGCCTCCGTCGGACCATCTTTAAGGTCGACAGCCACTTCCTGAGCTCTTCGTGCTGACATCCTCAGAACCGGACGGTCATGCTGCTCCCGGCATGGTAGCGATGCTTGTTTCCCACGCCTTGGCAGCTTGGCACCCCAACACACAGTGCCAGCTCATCCACTGGAATGTTTCTTCTTGGCTCAGGACGCGTGCCACGAGCCTTTCTCCGACCAATCTCTGGTGTCTACGTGGCTGGTGCGTATGCACTCGGGTGACTCTCCTCTCCAAGTGCACCGCCACCGCTCCTCCAAGTTGGGCACGTGTCTGGTGCCTCTCCTTTACTCATGTCGTCTATTCACGTCACGTAATACCAATTTGGTGTATGTGAAGCCAGCAAAACAACTGCGAGCAAATCATGAGCGTGCATGTTTCATGCTCTTACATGACACACATGTCATGATTATCATATTTTGGGATGCAAATCCCACTTATCTATCCATGATTATCATTGCACCATTACATACCTTTGTCATGCATTGACGTCATGTAACACCAAAATCGGTATATGTGAAGCTAGCAAAACGCCACGAGGCGCATGATGAGCGTAGCATGTAATCATGTTTTTCATGGCATGCATGTCATGATTATCATGTTCCGATGTGTCATTTGTCACATAATGAGCGTGGCATGTAATCAACTTGTTACATGACACACTCTCATGATTATCATGTTTGCACCAGTCACATACCTCCATCATCCATTCCCATCACGTAATACCAAACTTGGTATATGTGAAGCTAG